TGCACACACACCCCCAATGTTCATTGTTGTGTTACTTCCAATAGCCAAGACATGGAAACAACACAAGAATGACCTTTATCTGTTGATTTACGGGATGATGAAAATGTGGTAACACAAATGGGCTCTGGGGATGTGATGTAGTCGGCTGACTATAGGTAACAATGCTGTGTTGTGAGTGTAAAAGCTGTTAAGAGATTAAATCTTAAGGGGCGCCTGGGTGGCTTAGTCGGTTAAGCGTCCGACTTTCGCTTGGGTCATGATCTCGCGGTTCGTGGGTTCGAGCCCCGCGTCGGGCTCTGTGCTGACTGCCAGCTCAGAGCCTGGAGCCTGTTTCAGAGTCTGTGTCTCCCTCTTTCTCTGACCCTCCCCTGCTCACGCTGTCTCTCTCTCTCCTAGAAATAAATAAAAATATAAAAAAAAAATAAATAAATAATAAAATCCTTAAAATGAGAACTTAATAGACATTTTTCCACATAAGACATACAATGGCAAATCAGTACAGGTGCTTGACATCACTCACCAGCAGGGAAATGTAAATCAGAACCACAATGAGGGGCTCACGTGTGCTGGAATGGCTCTTATCAAAAACAGCTAAGTGTTGGGGAGAATGTGGAGAAAAGGGAACACTTGTACACTGTTGGTGGGAATGCAAATTGGTGCAGCCAGTATGGAAAACAGTACGGAGGATCCTCAAAAACTTAAAAACAGAACTGCCAGGGCGCCTGGGTGGCTCAGTCGGTTAAGCGCCGACTTCAGCTCAGGTCATGATCTCACGGTTCGTGAGTTCGAGCCCTACTTTGGACTCTGTGTCAGAGCCTGGAGCCTTCTTTGGATTCTGGGTCTCCCTCTCTCTTTGCCCCTCCCTTTCTCACACTCTGTCTCTCTCACTCAAAAATAAACATTAAAAAAAAGAATTAACTAAATAATAATAATAAATAAAAACAGAACTGTCACAAAATCCAGCAATTCCACTTCTGGGTATTTATCCAAAGAAAGTGAAAACACTAACTTGAAAAGATTTATGCACACACACCCCCAATGTTCATTGTTGTGTTACTTCCAATAGCCAAGACATGG